ACTGTGTCCTCCTCCACTGTGTCCTCCACTGTGTCCTCCACTGTGTCCTCCACTGTGTCCTCCTCCACTGTGTTCTCCACTATGTCCTCCACTGTGTCCTCCTCCACTGTGTCCTCCACTGTGTCCTCCTCCACTTTGTCCTCCTCCACTGTGTCCTCCTCTACTGTGTCCTCCACTGTGTCCTCCTCCACTGTGTCCTCCTCCACTTTGTCCTCCTCCACTGTGTCCTCCACTGTGTCCTCCACTGTGTCCTCCACTGTGTCCTCCACTGTGTCCTCCTCCACTGTGTCCTCCTCCACTTTGTCCTCCTCCACTGTGTCCTCCACTGTGTCCTCCACTGTGTCCTCCTCCACTGTGTCCTCCTCCACTTTGTCCTCCTCCACTGTGTCCTCCACTGTGTCCTCCACTTTGTCCTCCTCCACTGTGTCCTCCACTGTGTCCTCCTCCACTGTGTCCTCCTCCACTGTGACCTCCTCCACTGTGACCTCCACTGTGTCCTCCACTGTGTCCTACACTGTGTCCTCCACTGTGTCCTCCACTGTGTCCTCCTCCACTGTGTCCTCCACTGTGTCCTCCTCCACTGTGTCCTCCACTGTGTCCTCCTCCACTGTGTCCTCCACTGTGTCCTCCTCCACTGTGTCCTCCACTGTGTCCTCCACTGTGTCCTCCTCCACTGTGTCCTCCACTGTGTCCTCCACTGTGTCCTCCTCCACTGTGTCCTCCACTGTGTCCTCCACTGTGTCCTCCTCCACTGTGTCCTCCTCCACTGTGTCCTCCACTGTGTCCTCCACTGTGTCCTCCACTGTGTCCTCCACTGTGACCTCCACTATGTCCTCCTCCACTTTGTCCTCCTCCACTGTGTCCTCCTCCACTGTGTCCTCCACTGTGTCCTCCACTGTGTCCGCCTCCACTGTGTCCTCCACTGTGTCCTCCACTGTGTCCTCCACTGTGTGCTCCTCCACTGTGTCCTTCACTGTGTCCTCCTCCACTGTGTCCTCCTCCACTGTGTCCTCCACTGTGTCCTCCTCCACTGTGTCCTCCTCCACTGTGTCCTACACTGTGTCCTCCACTGTGTCCTCCTCCACTGTGTCCTCCTCCACTGTGACCTCCACTGTGTCCTCCACTGTGTCCTCCTCCACTGTGTCCTGCACTGTGTCCTCCTCCACTGTGTCCTCCACTGTGTCCTCTACTGTGTCCTCCACTGTGTCCTCCTCCACTGTGTCCTCCACTGTGTCCTCCACTGAGTCCTCCACTCTGTCCTCCACTGTGTCCTCCTCCACTGTGTCCTCCACTGTGTCCTCCACTGTGACCTCCACTGTGTCCTCCACTGTGTCCTCCTCCACTGTGTCCTCCACTGTGTCCTCCTCCACTGTGTCCTCCACTGTGTCCTCCTCCACTGTGTCCTCCTCCACTGTGTCCTCCTCCACTGTGTCCTCCTCCACTGTGTCCTCCTCCACTGTGTCCTCCTCCACTGTGTCCTCCTCCACTGTGTCCTCCTCCACTGTGTCCTCCACTGTGTCCTCCTCCACTGTGTCCTCCTCCACTGTGTCCTCCTCCACTGTGACCTCCACCACTGTGACCTCCACTGTGTCCTCCTCCACTGTGTCCTCCACTGTGTCCTCCTCCACTGTGTCCTCCTCCACTGTGTCCTCCACTGTGTCCTCCACTGTGTCCTCCTCCACTGTGTCCTCCACTGTGTCCTCCACTGTGACCTCCACTGTGTCCTCCTGCACTGTGTCCTCCACTGTGTTCTACTCCACTGTGTCCTCCACTGTGTCCTCCTCCACTGTGTCCTCCTCCACTGTGTCCTCCACTGAGTCCTCCACTGTATCCTCCTCCACTGTGTCCTCCTCCACTGTGTCCTCCTCCACTGTGTCCTCCACTGTGTCCTCCACTGTGTCCTCCACTGTGTCCTCCACTGTGTCCTCCTCCACTGTGTCCTCCACTGTGTCCGCCTCCACTGTGTCCTCCACTGTGTCCTCCACTGTGTCCTCCACTGTGTCCTCCTCCACTGTGTAATCCACTGTGTCCTCCTCCACTGTGTCCTCCTCCACTGTGTCCTCCACTGTGTCCTCCTCCACTGTGTCCTCCTCCACTGTGTCCTCCACTGTGTCCGCCTCCACTGTGTCCTCCACTGTGTCCTCTACTGTGTCCTCCACTGTGTCCTCCTCCACTGTGTCCTCCACTGTGTCCTCCACTGAGTCCTCCACTGTGTCCTCCACTGTGTCCTCCTCCACTGTGTCCTCCTCCACTATGTCCTCCACTGTGTCCTCCACTGTGTCCTCCACTGTGTCCTCCACTGTGACCTCCACTGTGTCCTCCACTGTGTCCTCCACTGTGTCCGCCTCCACTGTGTCCTCCACTGTGTCCTCCTCCACTGTGTCCTCCACTGTGTCCTCCACTGTGTCCTCCACTGTGTCCTCCACTGTGTCCTCCTCCACTGTGTCCTCCACTGTGTCCGCCTCCACTGTGTCCTCCACTGTGTCCTCTACTGTGTCCTCCACTGTGTCCTCCTCCACTGTGTCCTCCACTGTGTCCTCCACTGAGTCCTCCACTGTGTCCTCCACTGTGTCCTCCTCCACTGTGTCCTCCTCCACTATGTCCTCCACTGTGTCCTCCACTGTGTCCTCCACTGTGACCTCCACTGTGTCCTCCACTGTGTCCTCCTCCACTGTGTCCTCCTCCACTGTGTCCTCCTCCACTGTGTCCTCCACTGTGTCCTCCTCCACTGTGTCCTCCACTGTGAACTCCTCCACTGTGTCCTCCACTGTGTCCTCCTTCACTGTGTCCTCCACTGTGACCTCCTCCACTGTGTCCTCCTCCACTGTGTCCTCCACTATGTCCTCCTCCACTGTGTCCTCTACTGTGTCCTCCTCCACTGTGTCCTCCACTGTGTCCTCCACTGTGTCCTCCACTGTGTCCTCCTCCACTGTGTCCTCCACTGTGTCCTCCACTGTGTCCTCCACTGTGACCTCCTCCACTGTGACCTCCACTGTGTCCTCCACTGTGTCCTACACTGTGTCCTCCACTGTGTCCTCCACTGTGTCCTCCTCCACTGTGTCCTCCACTGTGACCTCCTCCACTGTGTCCTCCTCCACTGTGTCCTCCACTGTGTCCTCCTCCACTGTGTCCTCCACTGTGTCCTCCACTGTGTCCTCCTCCACTGTGTCCTCCACTGTGTCCTCCACTGTGTCCTCCTCCACTGTGTCCTCCACTGTGTCCTCCACTGTGTCCTCCTCCACTGTGTCCTCCTCCACTGTGTCCTCCACTGTGTCCTCCACTGTGTCCTCCACTGTGTCCTCCACTGTGACCTCCACTATGTCCTTCTCCACTTTGTCCTCCTCCACTGTGTCCTCCTCCACTGTGTCCTCCACTGTGTCCTCCTCCACTGTGTCCTCCACTGTGTCCGCCTCCACTGTGTCCTCCACTGTGTCCTCCACTGTGTCCTCCACTGTGTCCTCCTCCACTGTGTCCTTCACTGTGTCCTCCTCCACTGTGTCCTCCTCCACTGTGTCCTCCACTGTGTCCTCCTCCACTGTGTCCTCCTCCACTGTGTCCTACACTGTGTCCTCCACTGTGTCCTCCACTATGTCCTCCTCCACTGTGACCTCCACTGTGTCCTCCACTGTGTCCTCCTCCACTGTGTCCTCCACTGTGTCCTCCTCCACTGTGTCCTCCACTGTGTCCTCCACTGTGTCCTCCACTGTGTCCTCCTCCACTGTGTCCTCCACTTTGTCCTCCTCCACTGTGTCCTCCTCCACTGTGTCCTCCTCCACTGTGTCCTCCTCCACTGTGTCCTCCTCCACTGTGTCCTCCACTGTGTCCTCCACTGTGTCCTCCTCCACTGTGTCCTCCACTGTGTCCTCCACTGTGTCCTCCTCCACTGTGTCCTCCACTGTGTCCTCCTCCACTGTGTCCTCCTCCACTGTGTCCTCCACTGTGTCCTCCACTGTGTCCTCCTCCACTGTGTCCTCCACTGTGTCCTCCTCCACTGTGTCCTCCACTGTGTCCTCCTCCACTGTGTCCTCCACTGTGTCCTCCACTGTGTCCTCCTCTACTGTGTCCTCCTCCACTGTGTCCTCCACTGTGTCCTCCTCCACTGTGTCCTCCTCCACTGTGTCCTCCTCCACTGTGTCCTCCACTGTGTCCTCCTCCACTGTGTCCTCCACTGTGTCCTCCTCCACTGTGTCCTCCTCCACTGTGTCCTCCACTGTGTCCTCCTCCACTGTGACCTCCACTGTGTCCTCCTCCACTGTGTCCTCCACTGTGTCCTCCACTGTGTCCTCCACTGTGTCCTCCTCCACTGTGACCTCCACTGTGTCCTCCACTGTGTCCTCCACTGTGACCTCCTCCACTGTGACCTCCACTGTGTCCTCCTTTACTGTGACCTCCTCCAGTGTGACCTCCACTGTGTCCTCCACTGTGTCCTCCACTGTGTCCTCCACTGTGTCCTCCTCCACTTTGTCCTCCTCCACTGTGTCCTCCACTTTGTCCACCTCCACTGTGTCCTCCACTGTGTCCTCCTCCACTGTGTCCTCCTCCATTGTGTTCTCCTCTACTGTGTCCTCCTCCACTGTGACCTCCACTGTGTCCTCCTTTACTGTGTCCTCCTCCACTGTGACCTCCACTGTGTCCTCCTTTACTGTGACCTCCTCCAGTGTGACCTCCTCCACTTTTGCCTCAGATCACAAAGATTCTTATGATCTCATTAATGGTGGAATCTGTTTCCACTCAGGCTTTTCTCTCTGGTAGTCGTTAACCTGGAGGCACCGTCTCTGCTCTTTCATGCCACTGGGGCCACGTTAATGAATTCACTGAACTGTTAAGATGCTGGTCTTAAGACAATCAGATGGTTGAGTACAGCTCCTTATCTTAAAGACTGCCCTGTGGCCGACAAGTCAGCAGCCTGCTGTCGAGTCGCCTGCCCTAGTTTTTGCAAAAGATTTTCTTTTTTCCTTCCCATCAATTGCATGCGAAGAAATGAAGGGGTAAATCCGCACCTGTAGTATTCCTCTCCCACAAAGAAAAGCGTCTTCTGAGGCTTCTTGAGGTAGACAGCAGCATCTATTCGCTGCACATGCCTTGGGAACCCAAAGTCATAAATTGTCCGTGGAGGACCTTGCATCTGGAATCCTCGTGTGATCCAGTAGTGGGGACCTGGAAGCAAAGGCTAGAATCTACGGCAGTTCTGTAACCCTCATCAAGTCATTTCCCTCACGAAGACACTCTATTATGGATGGTAAATGGGGCTAGTTCATGTGGATATAAATAATCTAGTCACTCAACTGAAACAGTAATAGACTCCAAACTTCCCTGGAGGAAAGGCTTTATATACCCTGAGAAAGCAGCAATATTGATACATTTGTGTCTTCTTAAACTTATCATCTTTTTGTTTTCAATGTAATTTTTGTTTGTAACCTTCCCTCACCTTCATATATGCACAAGGAAGAGGGGATAAGTTACATCGAATGATGCAATTCACTTAAGTTAACAACAGTCTTAGGTATCAGTGAAGCCTGGCAGTCGGTGTGTTCTGGGTGGCTTTGCTTGGCTATCTGTTGCTGAGATTGGTGTTATTCCAATCACTTTGCAGATGAGAAATAAAACCTCATGGCAGTTGGATAATGTCTCAACATTATTTAAATAATGAAGGGCTGAAGCCAGAGGTTGGATTCCTGTGTCTCCTGAAATCACAGGAGTTTGTGTGCCACCAGCTGCTCTAAGCATGACTTTGTAGCAAGGATTTCAATTAATGCTAAAGGATCTCACTAGAGTATGTCATGCTGTTCCAAACAGAGAGGCCAGGGACTGATTGTAAACTCCCTAGCCCTGGCCATGTAGTGCCTGCTAAACTCAAAGGCTGGTCCTGAGGACAGCCTTACCTTCCATGGCTACAACAGTGTGGAGTGACGTTTAGCACCCAACCTGAGAAAGAGCAACTGAAACTTGCCCCAAGACCACCAAGTAACACAGGTATGGCACCCAGGTTCTGGCGTATCTGTCTTTGAGGGATCTGCAGATACCTTTGAAGAAGAAAGCAATGCCCCGCTCAGCCACTTCATAAGCTGCATCCACGTTGGACATGAGCTGGGGGAAGGAGCTGGTAATGGTGCTGGGCCGAATCCCTGCCGCCAAGTGCACCTGCCTTCTCCAGAAAATCCTATTGGGTGGGCCAGAAGAAGTCAACATCAAGGATTGGTTGAGATCTTAGATTGCAGAGACTAAAATGATACTACAAGTCACATGGCAGAGAACATTGTGAAGTCCCCCATGCCCTTTGCCGTGTTTTAGAGAGCAACACATTATACTGCTACTACTGCTATCACTGTTACTATTTTTTTTTTGAGACAGTGTCTCATGAATCCCAGGCTGGCCTCAAATTCATTAAGGATGACTTTAAATTTCTGGTGCTTGGTTCCACCTCCTGTGGGCTGGGTTCCCGTGTGCTGTCATGTCTGGTTTTCATCTTTTAACCTTATACACCATTTCTTCCTCTTTCTCATCGTGTTAGCACCTCTGAGACTTCGTTTATGTGAAGATGTTCAAAACATAGATGGCAGAGCAGTGGGTTATTCATTAAACACGCATCCTTTACTCCCAAAGACCACTACATACAAATTTCTCTTTCGTATTCTATTTTAGTATTTCCAGAACTAAAATCTCCAAAAGAAATTGCAAAATGAACAAGGAACTAGGCAAAAATTAAAGTCTTGTCATCTGGAGTAGTGGTACATAGATGGGCAGCTGTGGTGCATAGATGGGCAGCTGTGGTACATAGATGGGCAGCTGTGGTGCATAGATGGGCAGCTGTGGTGCATAGATGGGCAGCTGTGGTGCATAGATGGGCAGCTGTGGTACATAGATGGGCAGCTGTGGTGCATAGATGGGCAGCTGTGGTACATAGCAGGGAAGTGTTAAGAGGGAGGCAGCCCAAGTGTGGCTCTGAAGCTTTCCCCAGGTGTTAGAATCGTAATTTTCACACCGAGTCCGTCTTGATTTAGCTGTTGCAGATATTGTGAGGACTAACCTGAAGCAGAACAGTCATCTAATTCAAATGTTTGTGCCTCTGGGGACACAGAACTTGATAAGGTCTGGTGGCAATGCTGGTTGTCATAGCTAAGGCTGAGAAGTGCTCTCAGTATTAGGAGTAGCCAATGCAAGACTTACCATGACTCACAATATCAGTAATCCCAAAGATAGGAAATGCTGTTTTAAACAGTTCAATTACAATGTGCACATTCCATGTGGTGCTGTATTCTATATAGTATTATCTACTACTTATGTAAATTATCACAAAAACTTTTCATAAGCTAGCGGTGAAGAAAACTTATGTTTGGTAGATAATAAAACAACAGCATGCCGATTCAGCATATTAAAGCAAAAGATAAATTAAAATTGAACAAAGAATTTAAAATGAAACTTTTTCCAATCTAGAGACTTGTTGATAAAAGACAGGTTAGGACATACAGGAACTATGTAATACAGCAGATGAATATCAACAGGCCATAATCTAATCTTTGATGAGGAAGGAAAAACAGCAGAACTTGATATCACCAACCAGCTGGTATTTATTACCACTATTTATCTTTGTGTACCTTGTGTACCTGGTGCTAACATAATCAAGATTCAATGAATATTTGTCAGCTGATGCCAGAGGCTTGAGCAGAGTACATTTGATCAATGAATTTCATAGTTTATGAAATGTACATATCCTGTTACTAGAACTAATTCATTAAATTTGAGATTAACTTACTGCCGACCTCCCTGGCCTTTGCTCTGTGCCTGTGCTGAAACGCCGGGGGCAGGCAGGCCCACGTCTTACTCATCTTTTATCCTGGGGCTTACCATGGTGCCTGGACATCTGACCTGTGTTGCTTGACTTTTGTTCTCTTTTTTTCTGGGAATTGAATTCTGGATCCTGCTAAGTCATAGAGCTACCTCCCAGGCTGAATGGTTTTCTTAAAATTTCCCTCATTTCTCCATATATGACTCTTTTATTTCTGAGAAAGATTTAAGCAACCCAGGTATATAGACATATAAAATAACTATACAAATTAACAATTTACTGATGATAAATCACAAAGAATTCCATCTTAATTTTCAATTTGTTTGGCATACACATAAATTTTTGCTTTACCACTTATTAATGATGAAAACAAATGTGCCCTTCAATGAGATGTTTGATTGTCTAACACAGGACAGTTCAAAGATACATTGATTTGATACTTCCATAGGAAGGATGACTCTAGGAACGTATTATAAATCATTGTTTTCTATAAACTATGATAAGAGCAGAAAACGTTGTATGTACCGTAATAACACAGAAATTCAACAGTCTCAAATTTGAGTGGCGGTATCGGGCTGGGTCCATCAGCATCTCATGCTGAGATACTATGCCCATGCAAGCTGTGCAGATTGCATGTTTGGAACCAAGACTGTGGTGAAATCACACAACACAACATGGATGAGAGCTGCCAGTCACACCTGAGATTCATTACACGTTTGATTTTTAACTAAATTTTTGGTCACTGCCTGTTCAGAAAATTTTTACGGTTGACAAGCTTTTGCTTCTTCTACACTCAGCTCCCTCCAATTGGAGTTGTACCTCTCAGTTCAGAACACTGTGACCATCTTTTTCCTAAACCTGCTTAGGCAGATCCATGTCTGTCTTTCCCTTTCAGGAGATGTTTTCACCGTGTTTCACGGACAGTCACCGCAGTCCAGCTCAAGCTGCACCGGAGCTCTTGTCTCCGGCCATATTAGTCCCACACCCTCCTGAGTCTGCTTTTCTGGTGTCCTTTTCCTACGTTCAGGGGGAGAGGCGTCTTTCTCCCCTTTCGGATGCTCCTACTTGCTGACTATTCCTTTGGGGTCAGGCAATGTGGTACAAAGAGAGAAACAGGACGCAGAAGACAATCAGACGTGGCCTGTCAGCATCCCCGGGAATAGACCAGGAAAAGTCAGGTAACAGGTACAGAGGAGGTAAGTGATGGCTAAAAATCTCTAATTTCAATAACAAAGCAAAACAGCAAACTTAGCAGAGCAGAAGAGAGAGAAAGTTCAGACTCTATCCTGGAGGCATGGTTGTACTTTAGGGAGTTCTCACATTCCAGCTGCTTGCCAGACTGGAGCCATGGCCTAAGACCTTTGAAAATCTGCACTGTATTCCAGTAACAGACCCTTTAAAGAGCAAAAACCAAGGAGAAGGGAGTTAAAAGTCATGCACTGACAGAGGAAGAGGGGGTGCCAGGGAAACCGCCTCTTTTTGGCATTCAACCAGAGCAGATAAAAGATGTCATTGTAAAATGGTGGCGTAGCCACCCTAGAGGAAACAGACCCTCCCGGAACCATACATCTTTGGGACCCAGAGCAATTGCCATGGGAGTGTATGAGAACCCTGGACAGCTGAATACTTCTAGACAATGAGGAAGACAGTTTGAGTGAAAGCCATACGAAATTCAGTGAGGTGGAGGTCTGGTCAGAGCTGAGTTGTGACCAGTACTCACAGCCCATCGTGGGAAGGACTGCCCAGGGATGGGACCAGAATTCTCAGCCAGGCTTGTGAAGGCTGCATGAGCAGCACCTGCCATGAGACCTGAGAAGCCCGAGAGCTGGGGTGCTTTTAGGCTATCCAGCTGTATTTCCATACCGCCTTTTCTTTTCATTCCACCCCTAGCCAGGGCTGCCTCGTCTTCCTGACCTTGCCTTACTGTCCTTCAGCTCTCTTCTCTGCCACTGCGCACTAATCACCAACCCACACCGCCTTTTCCCTATTCACTCTCTAATTTCTCAGCACACACAGTGTTATTGATGCTCTTTTACTTCCTAAAATGATTGATGTTGAAGGAGTGGCTGCATTTTAATTGACATTTACTGTATTTTCAAAGACAGACTACCCTTCAATAATGACTGTTTTGAAGACAGCAGTTCACCCTTAGAGCAGTACTGGGACTGAGGCTGATGTGCAGAGCGCATGGGTCCAACTA